TGTCTTAATATTTAAAAAAAATTAATTTTAGCGTAACTTGTCCACTATTACTTATAAAAGTGCAGGCCATANTTTGCAGATATATCAATTGACATACTGTTGTATTTAAAATCAATGTGAATGAATCATTAAATGCTGCTGTCAATCAAATGTGATTAATATAATTGAGCGTGATTGTTTTAATTATGAACTCATCAAATAAGTGCTATTATTATCTAAACACATTGCTTTGAATATTTACATTAAACGATGCATTTAATTTATTTGTGCTATCTTTAACGAACAGGTGATTCACATTGTACGATGATGGTATCCAAATTCTTAACTCTAACATAAATGAATAATATCACATTTTTACTTGAACATACATATTTTCCTTGCATTACATGTGAAAAAAAAAACAAGAAAACATCCAGCCGATAGTTCCTTAAAATGATATTTCATATGATCAATCCAAAATAGGATTTGCCTTCTTCAAGTACCGGTCTCACCACCTCGAGGTACCCTAATAATCTTCTCGGTACTGCATACATGCACATGGAAAGTTAGTCTGCTCTCAAGGAAGGATCTGCTTGAAGAAAGCAAATCCTATTTTGGATTGATCATACCAAAATAGGATTTGCTTTCTTCAAGTAAATGCCGGTCTCACAAACCCGAGGTACCCTAATAATCTACTCGGTACTGCATACATTCATATGGAAAGTTACTCTGCTCTCAAGGAAGGATCTGCTTGAAGAAAGCAAATCCTATTTTGGATTGATCATACCAAAATAGGATTTGCTTTCTTCAAGTAAATGCCGGTCTCACAACCCCGAGGTACTCTAATAATCTACTCGGTACTGCATGCATTCATATGGAAAGTTACTCTGCTCTGGCTGCATACTGATGTGGCAAAATTAACAAAAATTCTGAAAGTTTTAGTTTTTAATAGTGTACCACTCTATAAACTATTTCACAAAAAAGCGTAGTAGTTGATAACCCTGATTGCACATTTTCTCATTACTTAAATCTATTTACAAAATATTCAAAATAAACGCAATAAGGGTTAAACTTGATTTCTCTCAGCCTTCTTTTCCCTCAGGGGTTGTTCCTGGGTTTCATTGGCAGTAAGGGATGTTTTGTCAAAACATGCTAATAAAAACAACACTGGTAACAAAAACAACACTGCTAATAAAAACAACACTACTTTTTTCTGTATTTATGCAAATACTTAATTTTGACTAAAACGGATGTGTGGTTTTCAAATCTAAAAATAGTTTTAATCCTAAAAATGCAGTTTTTTTTTTTAAAAAAAAAAGTTTAAAACGTTTTAAATAACAAGAGGGAGCGTAAAAGTTAAATCAGGAGGAGGTGTGCAATTTTGTGAGTTGTTTTATTTTTTTCTGACAATTTTTGAAATTCAGTGATTTCTTAAAATTTTGTAATTTCTTATAATTTTTATAGCAGTTGCAAGGAGAGAAAATATAGATGAAAAATACTGACAAAATTCACAAGTAATATTTCATTCAATACACAACTTTTGTGTATTAATTTGCTCTTATATGGCAATTTCTGAAAATTTGAAACATTTATGAAAATTGATTCTCTTTGAAAAATGGGGATCTCGTGGAATGAAGATGGTACATAAAAATACTGAAAAAATCCACAGCTGATGTATTAGTTCATGTACAACTTTTGGGAAGTAGCGCTTTTCATTATTGAAAACTTTTTTTTTTTCGCTACCACCCTAACGCACCGATGCCAACTTTATATTTTAGAGTGGTAGTTTATCAATTGTTGATTCTTGGTTTAGTAGATTTTTATCCAACACTATTTCTAAATAATTCGTAGGCTTGTATAATTCACCACTTTATAGTTCTTATATCATGCTAAACTTTTCAAATATCCAGCAAAAATAGTAAAATATTTACAAAATTACTTGGTAGTTATTTACCGTTTTTTAATTTTTTTTCCGTGTCCGGAGCAGTTAGCATCTCTGCTCATCATCCGAGGCATGGGTGAAAGTGAGACGGAGAAACTGGTAGTAAAATCATTTCAGTTTTAACTAGTTTACGAGGGGAGTAAAAATCCATTCTCTCTTTCAAGCTATTTAACAATATCTACCTTTTCTTTAAAAAACAAAGCAGTTTTATATATATGCTATAATTATAGCAAAATATCTCGGTAGTTACAGAAATTAAATTTTTTTCGTAAAACATGCCAGAATGAAATGTCTTTCGTACTAGCTTTTGCTCTTTTCCGTCTTGGTATATATATATAGGCTTGTCTTCCGTCTTGGTTAACATATATATAGGCTTTCAGCCTTGGTTTAAGGACACTTGTTTCAACTTACGGGAATAACTTTTATTTAATTATTAAAGTGCGATAATAAATTATATGATTTAACATTTTATTATCGAATCAATTTAATTAATTAAAAATATTTTTTTCCACCGTTGCATACAAACAACTTAATTGTATATATATAACCCATTAACCGGTTAACGCCCAGCATCATATATTTAGGACAGTTCCTTTTTTCAAAGACATTCATAGTGGTGGAAAACTTTTTTCAGAATTTTCATTTATCTGGGTGGATTAAAAGATTCTCAGATACCACAATGATTTAGTTATTTCTGACTAGATCTAGAATTAAAAGGAGCAAGTACTTTTTCAAATGGCGCACAAAACTACACCCCGACAAAAGTCAATTCTTAATCATAAATAGTAAGAAAAAACAACAAAATACTCCCCATATCTATCTGTTCAATACTGAGATCAAACCAGTGAAACACGTTAAATACCTCGGCGTCACGATCTCATATAATTTGAGCTGGAGTACTCACATAAACGACATAATCAAAAGAGCCAGAGGAGCGTTTTTTGCGCTCAAAGTCCTCCTGCATAAGAATTCAAAGCTTGATCTAGCAAATAAAAGAACTATCTATATACAAGCGATTCGACCAATTCTTACGTATGCTTGCCCAGCCCTCACTACCATAAGCAACAACCTAAAAAAGAAGCTATCTACAACTGAAGGTAAATTTTTACGCACAATGACTGGCGCCCCAAGGGCGATTAGCAATAGATTGCTCAGAAAAGACTTAAACATTGATGATATCAATTGCTTTATAGCTAAATTGACCACAAAATTTTACAGCGACGCAAAGACATGCACCACATCGGATTTCAATAAATTGTTCGATATTGATATAATCAGTGATAATTCGAATTTCAGCCCAATTACCGCCTTTTTATGCTCAGACTGCATACTATCAAAATACTATTAACTTTATCATACAACTCTACTCAAGGGGATCTCCCCAATCCAAAGATGATTTTCCCTTCAAAACTAAAGATTTACTCCTTAAGGACTTGACTTGTTGTTACAACATACTACAACTTCAAAGATATATAGGACCTCCTAGAATACAACAAAACAGAATCGATGAATCGGTTAGTGGCGCTTCGCGCCAAACGCCGAGATAACCCCAATATCCAGCATCCAGCAAGTACTTTTTGATCTATCAAAGACTTTTTGAATGCCCTAACAGTAGAAAAACCACCTTTTCCATAAAACCACTTCTTGTATTATTTCAATATATGAAGTCGGGACAAAACGGATTAATTGGGAGAAGTTCTTAAGTGTCTGAAAAATAAACAAATAAAGCCTTTAACTTAAATTGTTATTTGGCTACCAATTTAAATATTCTTAGAAGCTAGGACTTCTGAGTTACGCGCTGTGCACTTACGTGTTTCATCCACTAAGCTCTTCAAATTTTAGCAAATTAAAAATTATTCGGTTTTTAAAAAATTAAAGTACGTTTTTTTATTTATTTATCTCTGGTTTCAATGTGTTGTTTTCAGTTTATGGATTAAAGAGTGTACTGAAAGAGAAATAGGAATAATATTGTGCACCTTAAAAATCGGTATCTTGAACGGTGCAAATTTCGTGCAAATTTGCTAAAAACAAATTAAATTGCAACATGTTATCACTCTAATTGAATGTGCAATCGAGTTTAGGCTGGCCTAACTTGCTCAATATCATTATTCACCTTGTCAATGTGCTTAAGTTATTGCAAATTTGAATGATACAAAGCCTCAATTTTATCCAAAAAGTCTATCATGAGCCGTGATAGCTTAGGGGATAAAGTGTTCGCCTTCCAATGAGGCGAACCGGGATCGAATCCCAGTTATTATGAATTCCGCATTCGGCTTGCACCGACCACAGTGCTGACGTGAAATATCCTCAGTGGTAGACGGATCATGGTTAAAGTTCAATTGCCGTCAGGCTAACCGAGGGAGATTCTCCCCGGTTATACATTCAAAAAGCCCTCCACGAACGAAAATATCTCTCAATACTCGATTCAGGAGTTCCCTTGTCTTCTGGATTGGGTTCAAAATTACAAGGCTACGGAATTGAACATTAGTAGTAGTAAGCCCATACAAATTGGGTCGGCTGTTCAACGACGGTTATGAAATATAAGAAAAAATAAAAAGTCTATCACTATGTTTAACGCATTTTGCATGCATATAGTACACATATCTAGCACTTATACGATGGACTTTAATCCAGGGGAATTCCCCATCCAACTGATGTACTACTGAATCAACTCATGCTTCACCTAACGTAGCATCATGGACTTATTATCTGATCGTAACTTAGAACTTTGAACTGCGTATGACCTCTAGTCCAAATGCCAAAACAGTATAGTTGAATCGGTTAGAAGCGCTTCGCGATTAACGCCGAGATTCCACACATATCAATCAATCAATCAAACTTATACGATGGCAAAATATTTTATCCATTTAATTTTTTATATCGATTTAATTTTTAACTTACTTTTCCCTTAAAAGTTAATATTTAAAATAATATAATAACAAAGATATCACCGCAAAATACTTTATCGAAATTTTATCTCCAAACAGTCATATCTTATTGAAATAAAATAACAAACTGTGTTCAAGGATGCTTCAGAAACTCAATAAGAATTTTGATTCCGAATTTAGTTCTCGCATTTTAATGTTTTAATTATGTTTCTATGATCTAACCACGTGATCTCCCATGTGACATCTTTTTGCCTTGATCTATATATTAGAATATTTTTACTGATTCATTCGTTAGGAAATGATCGCAATAATTATATTCCTTCAAAATGTACTTCTAGAGTAACATGTGAACTATATTTCAATAAGGAACGCTAATGTTGACAGCAAAATTTATTAACGGACAATTAAGAGATGATTTTTATTCCTTGAAATAAATAATTTAATTTTTCTTATTTATACTGCTATTGCATAAACGAGTGAAAAGGTAAGTCTTGTTTGTATTGTATATCAATTTATGTCTAATCTTTAATCAACTGCACTATACCAAGTAATTTTCGATTTCAAATAAAAAATAATTTTAAAAACAATATTGTAAAACAGTAATTTAAAATTGAATTAGTAACTAAAACCTTAAAAAATAAGTCTTAGTAATATAGTATTTTTGAACCTAAAAAATAAGGAATAGTTATGTAACAGGGCTCTAAAATTATATTGCTTGACATGCGCTTGGCAAACATTTATACCATTAAATACCGATTAACTTCCTTAAAATTTGAAAGAAAGAAAAAATTGCTGCAGTGCCAGATGGGGGGAATAAACGGCACAGAAGGTGGTAAAAAAAAATTTTTTTAATAAAAATTATCGGTAAAATTTTTTTTAAATAATTTATGAGACCTTTTTAAATTTTACATATTCTCTATACCTGTTTACTTTTGTTTGCTTCATAAAATCTTTTACGCAGCCCGCGGCATTCTTTTTTCCCACGACCTCTGTGCCGCTTTCGAATTACTTTGTCGCCAGCCATATGGGATAACAATCGTAATTTTGAGGAATAGTTTAGACGGTAAAGTGCTATTACTCTTGACCTGTTATTTCTTTTTTCGTCATTTTTTTTATTTTACTATGTTTCATACCTTTAAACTAATAATTACAGGTTGTTGCTCGTTTGGGTGTATGAATCATACTATATCTTTTACAATATTGTTTCTTTAAAAAAAATCTCATTCTTTAATTTATTCCTTCATTCATTCCTAAGGAGTTAATTTTCACCATATAATCATTCATATTATATCATTCCTAAGGAGTTAATTTTCATTATATTTGGTTTACTGATGCATTTGACAATTTTCTATTTATTTTCCATATTAACATTATATATTCACATTGATTTTTTTTAAAATTTAATTGCCTCATTATATTTTAAATTACTCATTTTTTTTGGTTGTTTTTGTGGAATTTCGCCTTTTTAGTTTTAAAAAAATATCTCAATCACTATATTGAAAATTAGTTTGATATGCTTTGTCTTATTTTCATAAAAAATATTGTATCTATTTCAATAAACTAATGATTATGGCAAGCATTTTCCTCTCTGAAGATATGTTATTAGCATTATTACTCATTAATAAAATATGTCATTTTATTCGCATTGTCTTTTGTTTTATTTAATAATAAAATTAGAGAATCAAATTCATACAATTTAATACTTTTGTAGTAATTCAGTAAAATATATATTTATTTTTTACTTCTATACACCCCGCAGTTTGATTGCTTTACTTTATCCAATTTCTAAAATTAAAGTACCCATTAGAAATCTTCCAATATTATAATTGTAAAAAGTGAATGAAATTAAAATTTTATTTTAGAAACATCAAGATTTGTTTATCGAAACAAAATATTTACCATGCTGTATTATAAATATACAACTAATAAATTTCAATCATTGTGAATCTATGTAAATTAACTCTTTAACTCTTATTTCTGTAATACTGATAAGATAATAATAATACAATCAAAGACAAGTTTATAGGTGTCTTAAAAAAATATGTAAAATCTCTGATAAGAGTATTAACGCTGTTTAAGTGAATTTATCCCTTTTATATTCATAACATACTTTATATTCTAATTGAGAAACATAATTACGTTGCATTTAGTATTTTAAAATTGCTTTTTAATTTTTTTAAATATCGACATTTATTTTCGAAAATATTTTTTCATTTTGTTACTTGCACCTAAAATTTTAAGATTCCATTTTAATTTTAAACTATTGTACTTAAAATTTTTGCCGTTGTCTATTTAGGAAATAACAAATAAAAGTTGGTATTGATTGAGAAGAAAATGATTTGAACTGTTGGGAAAAAAAACTTTTTCTTTTAACACTGTTATTATTGCCCATAACAATTTAAATCTCAAATCATTCCAATCTTAGAGCCCTATAAAGAAAACCGCCAGCAAAAAATGTCAAAATATTTTGAAAAAAAAAAAAAAAAGTCAGAAAATGCCGGCTGATGCTTTATTTTAATAAGCATAATGAAAACTACTTCAATTTTCGTTTTATAAATAAATATCAATTAAATATTTTGAGTAAATAAAATAAAAATGTCTTTAACTAATGTTATTTTATTTAAAAAACTGGTGATATCTTATAAAATTNAATTTTGTACAGAAAAATGATGTATTAAAGTATGCAGAAAAATGAAAAATAAACTATTTTTGAAATAGTAAATGATGTTCGAGCTCATTTGTTTTATTTATTTATTTTTATTTATTTTTTTGTATTTATTTTAATGCACAAAAATTAACTATTAACTATAATTAATTCAGACAAAAACATTTTTATGTTATTATTGTAAAATATATTGTTGTTATCAAAACAATATAAACTTCTAGTATTATGTTTCCCCTTGAGAATCCCGCAATGTTTATAAGTGAAGGAAAAAAGTTTTAAAAATATTGTAAAGATTCATTAAAAAGAAAAGAAAAGAAAAAAAGAAAATCAGAAATAAAAATTGTGAATGAATTTGCGTGAAATAATATTGCTAATTATTTCGCTTTTGTTATGTTGAATATGTTATCAAGCACGTGAAACGGAAAATAAATAAATAAACAGTTCCTTAATTGATGCTCCTTTACATCACACTTATTAGTGTTCCAAAGCAGTTAAAAATCCCTAACATCATTTTCAATACACTCTTTTCCCTCATCTGTTTTCCCTATTGCTGAAGAACAAAATTATTTTCTTATCTTTAACTACCACACCTGCTCGACCCCACCCTTTTTTCCATTTTGACAGTTTGGATGAAATGACGTTGGGTGAAATGACGGTGGAACCATAAAATAAGACCGAGTACGAGCGCTGCTTAAAATTCCATGATGATTCCATTCCATTAACCCCTTGGGGACGGTTGATTCAGAAAAGCATTCGTACAAAATCAGAATCAGGATGTACTTAAATAAAAAAACGGTAACTTAAATGTAGTCGTTGCTAATTTGACAGGTTTACTTTGCTTTTACTTTAATTATTGTTAATTTAATCATATATATAATCAGTGTTAATTCAAAGTATAACTAAATAGTTTTATTTTGAACAAAGTAATGGTGAATTAAATAAATCAAACAATTATAACTCCGCCCACAAATAATCTGCTAAAGAATTACTTTGATTACCAGTTTTATCTTTTTACCCTGTTTGATACAGTTTTATGCTGGCACAAATTTGTGACAGTCGGCCTGAAAGGGTTAATGAAAAAAGGTTTCTTTTCATAGTGGTTGGACTTATCACTTTTATACGCTTAACTTGGTTACGTTGCTAGGAAAGGCTAAAATTAAAAAAAAAAGAGTGCAATTAATTTAACACGTTCAAGCCGGGGTGACCCACCGGTGGGTCACGCTAGATTGTCTCATTGGGCGGGGCACCGGAGTAAAAACTGGTAACAATTAAATTTCATTTTTTAGTCTTTTTCCGGGAATAATAAAAATTCATAACTACCAGTTGTTTTTAACTGATGCAATTTATGTACTGAATTGATTCTTCGCCGTTATAAATTTCCTTACAGTGAATTGTTATTGTTGAGAATAGATTAACTCCTCCCGAATATTATCTAATATTAAAATAGTTCTTCTACCAGTATTTTCACTTTTCCCGGCGTGAACGTGTTAATTTAAATAAGTAACAGTAACTTAAAGTCTGGAATTTGAATTATAGCCATTTTATCAACTGATTTCAAGTTGAATATTCTGCTTATATTTCTTTTGTACTAAGCAAAGCATCTTCATTTTTTTTGGAGTCGTCAAGCATCTTAATTGATATTGTTGAGTACGGCAAGAAATATACCTTATTTCTTCCACTCCTATATTTTATTAAACAAAATATTCTTAAAAGAAAATACAAAATTTCAACATATTTCTAAAAAAACATAAACTCGAGTTCCATTGTATAAGTCAAAAGTTATTTGGAGACAAAACAAAACGCTTTCACCTAACTCTCCATTATACAAAATCTATCCAATTCTTATTTCAAAACGTAACAGATATGTAAAGTGTAAGAAAATCAGGTTTGTTACGACCTTCAAGTCGTATCGTTAAAGATGAGACTAATAATTTAGTTAATGATGCAATCATTATTTACCTTCCTTTAATTTTCAATATGTTTTAAATAATTGTTAAATTCGTTTAATAGTTTCCTTTAAATGAAACAAAGTGTTAATTGTTTTGTCACGCCTTTTGACACATCCAGATTCATCTCGTATGGAAGTAAGGTTTTCGAATTTTTAAGTTTTACCTGTTTATATGTCTCAAAAATCTTTTTCTGTTTGTATCTATTTATACTTTGACTGTCTATGTATATTTTAACTATTCTTACTAGGTATGTACTTTATTAATTTTAATTGTAAAATGAAATATTTTCAAACATAAAATATTATTTTTTAACTAAAATGTAAAACGTATTAGTATAATTTATTTTCTTATAATAAAATTGATGAAATATTAATTAATAGTTTTAAGTTGCAATTACTATAAAATCGGAAGTAAATCAATCCAAAGTTTTCTTCAATTAACTGTGAAAAAAAATTATGCATTATTATATATATAGATTATTAATTATTATATCGCTCATGCGCTGCAATTGTGGCACAACTAAAAAGGTTAAACCAACTAAAAAAACACGCGTTTTGGACTAAAAACAGGTGTAAATATGAAAATACACATTCTTTTCAGCAGCAATACTAGCACAACCCATAATTCAACTTGAAGGTAATCTCCGTTTAAGCATACTAAAGCATTTCGTATGCGTTTTCCTTATCAATGAAAACTTTAAACCCACTTATCTCAAAACATGATTTTTTGAGTTGTGCCGCTAATGCAGCCCATTAGCGATATATATATATANATTAAGATTTTTGCCACGCAACTTTAATGCGTAAACAATTATTTAGTTATTTTTCGTGATGTAAGATAACTTTAAAACTAATTATTGAGTTTAGTTCCACACCTTTTAAAGCTATACTTATAAGAACAGTTGCTAAAAGCTAATTAATTTAAAAATGGAAAAACTAATTGAAAAATTTGCTCCCTTTTATAAGATATCTTCATGATTTGGATGTACAGCATGCAAAAAATAACAAAACAACCCTGAATAACGTTTGAATTAATGATTGTCCTATAGTAGGACTAATACTTCCATGGGGTGGACTCTAATATGGTCAATAATATAATTAGTAAGTGTAGACAATATTTTCAGCTTCGAACATACCAGACATAAAAACATACTTTCTCAAATAAACATGCATTTTTTCTGACGGATTATGAATTTTGACCCCCGAAATGTAGGGGTCATCGCCGTATAGAAAATATGATCCCAATAGTTTTGTTGGAAGAGCGGTCGCAAGCTTGGCCCCTTAATGTTTATTTTGCTTTTTTCAAATTTCCCATTGATTAAGAATTTTGTAAGTAATTGAAAATTTTTTGCCGCGCTTATAAAATACGTTTATTCAAATCCAGATATCAGTCAACCTTATAACAAACGTTTGTTTCATTTTCATTTGGTTGGCATAGAAATGGTTTACTAATTAATGTTATTTTAACATTGACGCATTTTGATGGATTTCGAATTTTATAAGGAAAATTACAAAACCCGTTTGCATTTTTATTTTATCTCTTGTAATGACTTTTATCCATTGATCGAGGTAAATATATAATGAAGTCTATTTTCTTCAAAAGCGTTGAAATATTGAAATTCTCTTTGTGGTATACCTATCTCTACGGATATGCGTCAATTTGATGCGATTGTAATTTTGACTAAACATGCAAACATCACATCAGTAATAAATAGGAATGTACCGACAATACTTCTATCCGTTATCAGATATCGTTATCTCAAATGAGACAGGTGATAAACAACTGTTGCCGATAAGCAATAATCGAAAGAACAAACACAGAATGTTAATTGATCTCAGATTTTGAAGGTTTCAGTTGCTTAGTTCGAGTATTGAAAAATAAAATACTAGAATATTTCTTAAATATATATCTCATATTTTCACTTTTTTTCTTATAGTATATAATTACATTATTTTCTAAGTGCAGAGATGCCAAAAGCTCCGGACGAGCCAAAATAATTTTAAAAAACTGTAAATAACTACTACGAAAAATTTTGCATACATAAAGTGGTGAATTATGTAAGCCCACGAATTATTTAGAAATAGTGGTGGATAAAAATTTACTACATTGAATTTATTAAACCAAGAGTTACAATTGATAAACTACCACTTTAAAATATATATTTGCTGTCTCGAGCAAGTTGGCATCTCTGTAAGTGCTGTTATATGTATTTGTTCATGCGTCAAATTGACGCGCGTTCGTAGAGATAGGTATATAAGAAACGTCTGTAAGCCTAGTGTTAAACTTATTAAATATTTTATTAAAGATCGGTATGCAAAAAAACATTACAAAAATCACTTTTAGTTGGTTTTTACTGTAAGCCTTGTTTTTGCCTTTTTCTGTTCATTCTGGCTTTGCTCAGGCTCTCAAATCCAACATCAAGTTTGCGTTCAAAACTTCATAATCAGGCCAAGCTCCACTTTTAACGTGCTAATATATATAATCTTGGGCAAATAATCCTTGTTTCAGTGATTGCCATAAAATCTAAAATAAACCTTGAGAAGAAGAATTTATCAACCAGATTGAGAATGCTTTTTTCCCTTCGATGATTCTTCCTCGTTTTTAGAAAGGTAAATTCAAATTAGATATGAAAGGGTTGTTTATGCAAGCTTCATATGAATCTCATCGCAAGTAAACTTGCCTAGTTAAATTTAACATTGTTTCAAGCTTGCATGGCTTAATTGCTAATAATTTATAAACCTTGCTGGTCTTTGAGATAAAGGCTGACTATAGCTTTAAAATCAACCTAGAACTTCGATTTGACAAGATAATTCAATGCAAAAAAAATGAAGCAAACTTTTATCGATTATTTATTCTTTTATTTAAAAATGGTATTAAGAAATTGGAATTGTAAAATATAAAACTTTCACATCATTTTAAAAAATGTAATTTTTCTGCTGAATGCTAAATTTGGACGAAATCGGTCAAATAGTTCCTGAGTTCAAATAGTTCAAATTTTGAAAAAAAATCAGATATTTAAGTTTTTTTCTAGAATATTGAAGACAAAACTTGCGAAAAATGGGAAGCGATTACGATCATCAGATGAAGCGGAAGGGATTTTTTCCATACCAAATGGGACATCTGACTGACTGGATGGTAAAATTAGCCAAAGATGAATTGAAGGAATCTGAAGAAACTCGTAGTCAAGCCATATCAGAACTTAGGAAAGTCATAGCCAGTAAGAGCATTTTTTTTCTGAAATTTTTTAAGTGTATTTAGAATTCTTGTCAAAAATGAAGACAAAATTTATGCGCGTGAGGATTTACAAATTAAAAGATAGGAAAGCAAGAAAAAAACAGTCCGATATAGTATAAGTTATAACTGTTAAAAAAAATCTTGGTTTCAATTGATGTTTAATTATTCCTGCGTACCAGCTAGAATCATTTTATTTCCTTTCCTTGTTTCTTCTTTTTTCCGACTTTTTATACGAGGTGGTTTCAAAAAATAAAGATAATTTCAGCAAAACAAAAGTTTTTGAGAGTCCGATTTCAATGCGGACTGTAACTTTGAATTTTTCAATTTTACCTCGAGAGCCGAATGAGGTGAACCGGGTTCGAATCCCAGCGATGGCTGGTCGATACGAATTCCGCATTCGGCCTGCACCGACCAAACTGCTGACATAAAATATTCTCAGTGGTAGACGGATCATGGGTTAGATTTCCCTTGACATCAGGCTAACAGTGGAAGCCTGGTTTTCCTCTCCATGTAACGCAAATGCGGGTTTGTTCATCACCTCCTACATCATAAAGCCTCCAGACGGTCTTTTATAAGTAGTCCGCGCAGACTGTTTAAAAAGTGAAACAGTTGTGCGCATGAACCCAAAACCTTTTATAAAAGTATTTGAGAGAAATATATGTTTGAGAATTGAATCTGTAGTGGTTGACAAGTGAATGAGGCAAACCAATAATATTCATAAATAAAATAAATTTTTAGTCATATATTTACTACCACTTTCTTATTTTAACTAGATTTTGTATTAAGTGACTCGTTCGGAAAGTGGATGTCCTTCACAGTGGTCTGATCGGACTACCTATGTAAAACCGTGTGGAGGCTTTCAGTTACAGGAGGCGTTGGTTATCCCAATACTTCATCCAGGAGTTCCCTTGAGTTCTGGCCATCTGGCTTAGGTTCAAAATTACAAGGCTATGAAGTTGAACATTAGTAGTCGTAAACCCAAAGTATTGGGTTGGATTTTCAATGACGGTTATAAAATTTTTCCCTCGAAGTATTACGCAAAAGTCTTAACTGGGAAATTTTTATCCGTCTGTCATACTGCTCGGACCATTAACTTATTCCTTTACCTGAAAAAGCATCGTGCGAAGGAAAACTTTCACGGCGATGATGAGATCAAAGGTGAAATTGAAATACGGTTCCGACAACAGGCTGTAAAGTTTTATTACTGTGGAATACAAAACCTTGAATCCAGATTGTTGAAATTTGACAATGGCTGCAACTATGTAGAAAATTAAGGCGTGTTCCAACAAATAGTTTGTAATGCACATTTAATCAATTAAAAAAATTTTCAAGTGAGCATGAGGTATTGTGCATGTACTTATCGTTCACTACACGTTTATTGGCTTTCTTGATAAATATTGTTTTTCGGTATCGAACGTAAACCATAAAAAAAGTGTAAGTACATTAATTAATTGATTAAATTCTTAATTTAAATATATTTGTTCGTAACTACCAACCAGAATAATTACTTTATTACGAAAATACTCCGGTCATATTATCAGTTGAATTATATACTTCATCAGTTGAATTATATATCAGTTGAATTATATACTTCATTAAAAAATGAAGGATATAAGTAAGAACAATTTGTTAGATTCCAACTGACGAATTTTTCTTATGCACATCCTTTAACCGATGAAAACCGGTTAAGAAAGCTTAACCAATCCAAGACTACTACATACCTGCCAACTTTTTATCCTTTCGAGGATGCTTTTCCCCAGTAGTAAAATGGATATTAAATTACAATTTTAGGCAGTAACAAATGCTGTATTTTGAATAAGATATACGGTTCTCCGCAACAGTAATGCATATTTAAATATATGATTTTTTAAAAATTAGTGGTGGTAAAAAAAATTATAAATTGAGTTTATAAATGCAAGGAATGTATAGAAAGCAAACATTTTACTACCACTTTAAATATAGAAATAAAATTTTACGCCAAATGCATACCTGCCAACTCTTAATCCCTTCCGTTATGAGTTTTCCCAGTGGTATTAAAATTTCAATTTTAATCAAAAAATATAAGTTGTATTTGAAACAGCTTAAGCTGACGAACTTGTTAGTCGCACATATTAAAAGATATGCTTAATTTTTTTAAAGAATAGTGGCGATCAAAATCATTTAAAAATTAAGTTTATAAAGGAAAAAATAGTATATATTTACTACCATTTTAAATATAAAAATGAAATTTTACGCCAAATGCGTAAAAGTTGGCAGGTATGCAAATGCGTCAAAGTTGGCAGTGTTTAGACTATTTTCAAATTTTGACTACCACTTTAAGATTTAAATATTCCACTCTCTAAATTTTAACTAGAAATGTTTATTTTACTTGTAAATCAGGGCTGCCAACTACAACGCTTTTTGAAAAATATTTTATTGAGTGATAGACAATTTAAAATTTCAGAATCATTGGTTATTTTGCAAATATTTTGAAAGCTTCACATAGGAAGAGACTGAACAAAGCGACTTTTCATGTAAGCTCACGAATAGTTTAGAAGGAGCGGTGTGTAAAATAGCCTTAAATCAAATTTACGAAAGAAAGAGTAATACATTAAATCATAAACTTAGCTACCACTAGAAGAAATTTTTCCAAAAAGCCTATAAAATGGCAGCCATATTAATTTATTATGATAAACGCGAATCGCTTCCGATTCGAAAAAATATTTCAAGAATGAAATCATTTACTTACAATCAATCATTGTACTCGTCCAGCGACCCCAACTGCTAAAGATTCTTCGTTATTTCTGTAAATATTTTCCTAGTGGTAGCAAGGGTAATGTATTTATAATTTAACTATTAAAGTTAAACAAACGAGATTTGTACGATTTGTGTATACCACTAAACACAATTAATTTAATTTCAACATACATATAGAACATATTTGACAGGGTGTCTAAAAATTTATGGAAACTGCCAAACATATCGTAAAATACGTGCTAGATTAAAAATTTACAAACCCATGACTTCCCCCACCCAAAGATTTTCATAATGGTGTTAATCTATATTCCAAAACCTTGTCATCACGTGTGTTGGTCGTCCTACTTTTTATTGCAGATGAATATTTTTTAGAAAAAAGTACACCTCATTTACATATAGGTTGTTGCATTTTTTTAAAATCCAAAGTAACAATGCAATTGCACAATGAACATAACGTATAAATTGGCGAAAATAGAGATATCCAGAGAAAAATATATAAACCTGCTTGATTTCTTAAATAACGTGTCTAATGACACCAAGCTCGACCCCTTTCTTCCCTCTTAGGTTAAATTTCCATACATTTCAGACATCCTGTATAAATGGTGGTCACCCTGAAGAAGTTAAATTTTATTTTTAGAACATAAGGAATTGAATGTTTGGATTGATGATGCTTACCTACTACAACTTTTAAGAGCTAGAAAATTCGATGTGAAGAGAGCTGGGGAACTGTTACTCCGTTTTTACGCTCTTAAAAGAGATTATCCGGAAATCTATCCACCAGAAATAGATCTTGAGAGCATAAAAACCGCACAGGAAGAAGCCTCGTGTTGTGGTGCATTTCCGTATCGAGACAAAAATGGATCCATTATATTGTTTTATAGTATTGGTAAGACACAAGTAGTCATTCACTTCTTTCTTTATCAACAGGTAAAAGTCGCTGTGGCTCTGGAGATAGAGCATTCATCTACCAATGAGGTACCCCAGGTTCGAATCCCAGCGGTGGCTGGTTGTTACGAATTCTGCTAACAGACTCGGTTTTCCTCTCCATGTAACAGAAATGTTATTGTTACAAAAAGTTCATCACGAAGGCTATTTTGTGCCTATGTTTGAACCAGGAGTTCCCTTGTTTTCTGTGTTGGGTTCAAAATTACAAGGGAGTTAAACACTGACAGTTGTAAACTCAGAATCGGGTCGACTGATCAGCGCCGATTATAAAAAATTATATAAAATAACTATATGTACAGGACAAAATAATTGTAACAATCTTTCTTTTATTAGTTGATGTTTTGGAAGATTTTGCATGGTAAAACTTTTGTTATAGTTTGAAAGATCATGCCTGAAGCTTTAAAAAATGGTGTTCTTTTAATATTTCTGTTTCTTTTAATAATTCTGTTCTGTTAAAAATGGTGTTCTTTTAATTCGTTTATAAAATTCGAAATGCGTCAAAATGACGCATCCCGGAAACGTAGTGTGCACCTGGGCCACTCAGCGGCCCCTATCCCATCCATCATGTTTCTTTTTTATATTAGTAGTAGATCTTTATGGTTATCAATCAATGTGGTGACTGTTAAAGGAATTCAAGCACCTTGCTTGAGTAAATAATAATAATGGAAATTAAAAGAAGCAATTAAGAGAAATCCATATGCTACTTTAAATTTTTGATATGTTGTGATTGAAAAATTACTTAAAATAAAAATTACTAAATTACGAGTAACTTAATTACGTTGCGACTAGAAAATTTTTATTTTAAAAAGCGAAGCAAGTTGGCAACACAGTAAATGGGAGTTTCTTTTCTCAAAACAAACGTAATTATTGTCACCAAGATTCTATTTAATAGAACGAGGAACAGAATCGAGTTCGTACACTAGCGTATTTTTGAGTTAATTAAAAATTAATTGCTTGCTTAAATAAGTTCATTGACTGTAAGGTTTGTCAACAACATCTTACACAATCAGAGCAATAACCACGTTTTCATGCCATTATCCCTTTGGGGACGGGTGATTCATAAAAGCATTCGTACAAAATCAGAATCAGGATGTAAATAAATAAAAAACGGTAGCTTAAATGTAGGCGTTGCTAATTTGACAGACTTACTTTCCTTTTGCTTTAATTATTGTCAGTTTAATCATACATATAATCAATAAAATGTTGGTTCGAAGTATAACAAAATAAAATTTTTTTGAACTAAAGTAATAGTGAATTAAATAAATCAAACAATTATAACCCCACCCACAAATAAACTGCTAATGAACTACTTTGGTTACCAGTTTTAATCTCTTTACCCTGATTGATACGGTTTTATGCTGGCACGCATTTGTGACTGTAGGCGCGAAAGGGTTAATCGAACAATTTTAAAATCCAGGTTTTTCCTTAATAATTATTTTTAACAAAATGGAAAGAAAATGAATTTCATCTATAAAACAATTTCGAATGCAAGTATGTAAATACCGAAAAACAAATTCCTATCCCTCAATATCAGAATCGTAGGTAAACTATTGCCTTAAAATTTAGTCATCTCAAAAATCCTAGAGATTCATTAAATTTGGAATAATGGTCACGAAAAGTTTCGGGACTGGTACGCACCCTGCCTAAATGTACTGCATCAGAAACTGTAATGTTTTATCGAATTCTTCCCACCATGCCTTACGCAGCAGAGAAATGGAGACACTTAGTATTCATTCGAACGAATTTAAAAAATTTCTTGTTAGGAATATATTATTGAATTGTATAAAAACTGTAGCTCTTAGAGAGAAACCGATAGAAAATTTAAAATCAGTGATTCAAAAACATGTAAGAACCGTACAAAAATCTCATGTAACAGAAGAAAAAAAAGTTAAACAGAAGAAGAAAAAGAAGAAAAAAACAGAAGAAAAGAAGAATAACATTAAAAGTTTACCAGGGTCATTCTAATATGATTGGTTACGCGAGTCCATCAGAAGATGCAGTGAGAATGTACCTGATGTAATAAACTTATTCTATAGTTAAATTAATGCTTTACAGAATTATTAATGTTCGATAATTTTCTAGAATTTTTGAATTAAATACTTGCTGTCAAGAAAGGCGTAATCGAAGAATTTTGTAAAATATTTTTTTTTTATTCTGCGCCAAATTTTACGGATTCTGTTCTGTATTTCAATTTTACTTTTAATAATGGGATAGCTGTAGTGTGGGTATTTTTATCTTGATTGGTTGTTGGAATGTTTAAGTTAACATTTGTTTACGTTAGCAACTGTTCTTTCCTTTCTATTTCGAGTAAGCAAAGCCCGTCAAATATCAACTCTCATAAGTAAAAAATTCTATATTTTATCACAAAGATTTCAATTCTTTCACTATATATTTCCTACTTATCACAAAAACAGACACGAAGCCGTGTAGAACATAAACAATCTAAGTATGCATCGAATTTGACAGTTACACAAGACAAAAAAAATCACGGTTACAATAAAATACATAAACAAATAATAAATCTAAGTTAAATGAAAGACGTAGACAAAAAATAATTATACAGGGTCTTTATAATTAAAGTTCCACTTTGAAATGGCTATAAAAATAAAACTATCCCACCAAATGTCATCAAACTTATTAAATGTCTATAAGAGGTTATGGGATTTTAGTTCCCGCAAAAAAAAAAAAAAAAAAAAAAAAAAAAAAAAAAAAAAAAAATAGTTTAAAAATTCACCACCAGGGGTGAATGGCGCTGTATGCAATAAGGTTAAACGAAATAACAGAGAAAACATCAGTTGCAAACACTTTTATTGTTGCTACAAAGCATGCTCAATGTGGCATCAAATCGCAATATTGCATTCTCAACAGCACTTCTTAGCATGTCTGGAGAAATGTTACCGACATGTCTGTGTATCGCATTCTTCAATTCCACTAAATTGGTTATGTTATCACCATAAACAATGGCTTTGAGATAACCCCACAGCCAGAAGTCACAGGTGTTGAGGTCTGGTGATCGGAGTGGTCAAGAAATAGGGAAGTTTCGGGCTACAATAAGATCATTCGTGAAATGTTGCTGCAGTAACTGTTTGACACACCTACCAATGTGAGGTGGAGCTCCGTCCTGTACAAAGATAGTGATGGCTAAAATGCCCCGTTGCTGAAGTTCAGGTATCACGAAACATCTGAGCATCTAAGCGAGCAGCAGTCACAGTGCATGTCACGGGCGCAGCTGCCGATGGCTCTTCAAAGAAAAAAGGTCCAATTATGAAATTTGCTGTCATACCGCACAAAACGGTGACTTTAGGCGAATGTAATGGAACTTCGTGGATAACATGAGGGATTTCCTTGACCCAAATCCTGCAGTTATGGGTGTTGACATCCCCATTTAAGTAAAAATGTGCCTCATATGTCCTCATAATGTTCCATGGCCAATTGATGTCCACCTCCATCCGAGCCAGAAAACTTAAAGCAAATGTTTCTTTTAAAGCCGGATCTCTAGGTTGAAGTTGTTGAACAAGTTTGATTTTGTAAGGGTAGTACTGCAACACTTTCCGAACGATTTTGTACACCGTACTCAATGGTAAGTCGAGTCGACGTGCAACAGCAATTACGCTGCACGTCCCCTGTCTGGTGTCCATTGCTGCTTCCTCTACTGCTAATGCAAACAGCCTCCTTGGTTTCCACAGACACAGATTTTCGTCCACGACCAGGTGCAACAGATAACAAACCTGTGGCTTGAAATTTTGCCATCATTTTCCATAAACCTTGCGATGTCATTGGACCTCGGCGTTTTCCTCTTACAGTACGGAACTTTTGTAAAGCCCTCCGTTCATTGCCGTCGCATTCATAGTAACATTTCACGAGCAAAGCACGGTCTTGCATGGTAACAGACATTGTCGACTCAGATCACTGACAGCTCAGACAAGGAGCCTCACTTTTATAACTGCAAAGTCACGTATAAAACAAATTTGCATATTTCACATGTGTTTAACACTATTGCATACAGCGCCATTCTCCGCTGGTGGTGAATTTTTGAACTTTTTTTTGCGGGAACTAAAATCCCATGACCTCTTATAGACATTTACCAAGTTTGATGACATTTGGTCGGGTAGTTTTATTTTTATAGCCATTTCAAGGTGGAGCTTTAATTATAAAGACCCTGTATTTCAACATATTCAATGTGAGATACGGTGCTGTATTTAATTAACTTTAAGCTTGTTAACATTCGAACTTATGTCGAGAAACTTAGCTAAACTTTAACACACCATTTTGTTATAAAAGATCAAGATCATATGTGTGGGTATCTGTGATCACCTTCTTGAAATGCAAGTACTCAATTTTAAGCGTGAGCGTAAATTGAATTCTGCAGAAAATATGCTGACTGAAAGTATTGCATTAGTACTGTAACTACATTTCGAAATTAACTATAACTTGTAATCACTACATTTCGAAATTAACAATAACTTGTAATCACTACATTTCGNTTAGTTATTTCTGATTAGATCTAGAATTATAAAGAGCAAGTACTTTTATACTCATAAACCTCAGGCCGATTGCAGCTCATTTTTGTAGTGACATAATTTTAACTAAAATACAAAATATTTGATTTCCTTTTATTCCAATTACCAGAAAGAACCACCTTAAAGATTAAATACAAGATGAATGGGAAAAAGGCCGCTAACGGCCCCAGGCGCCCAGTTATATTTCGATGATGATGTACTTTTATACTTTCACCTTTCAGTTGCGCTTCGGCGATTTATTATTTGTTATATACTCAGATGAATTAGTTAGAGCCCCTAGCGGGGCTGATGCTAAGATAACCATCACATATGAGTATGAGTAAGTACTTTTATATTTATCAAAGACTTTTTGAAAGCCCTAACAGTAGAGAAAACAATTAATTTCGATAATATATTATGCCACTCTTTCCATAAAACCACTTTTTGTATCGTTTCAATTTATAAATTCGGGACAAAACGGGTTAAATACTTGCTGTCAAAAAAGGCATAATAGAAGAATCTTGTAAAATATTTTTTTTTATTCTGCGCCAAATTTTACGGATTCCTTTCTGTATTTCAATTTTACTTTTGATGATGGGACAGCTGCAAGTGACGCGTAGTGTGGATATCTCTATCTTGATTGGTTGTTAAAACGTGACATTTGCTTACGTTAGCAACTGTTCTTTCCATTTTATTTCGAGTAAGCCAAGCCCGTCAAGTTTCAACTCTCTTAAGTAAAAAATTCTATATTCTATCACAAAGATTTCAATTCTTTCACTATATATTTCTTACTTAACACAGAAACACACACCAAGCCGTGAAGAACATAAACAATCTAATTATGCATCGAAGTTGCCAGGTACACAAGGCAAAAATATATAACTATTACAATAAAATACATAAACAAATAATAAGTCTAAGTTAAATAGAAGACGTAGACGAGGAAGAACTATCAACATATTCAATGTGCTATATTTAACACTAGCTTTACCGACATTTCTTATATGTACCTATCTCTACGAACACGCGTCAATTTGACGCATGAACGAATACATATAACAGCACTTACAGAAATGCCCAATTGCTCCGGACAGCAAATATGTATTTTACAGTGGTAGTTTATCAATTGTGATTCTTAATTTAATAAATTCAATTTTGTAGATTTTTATCCACCACTATTTCTAAATAATTCGTAGGCCTATACAATTCACCACTTTAAATTTGTAAAATTTACTTAGTAGTTATTTACAGCTATTTTAAATAAAATTATTTTGGCGTGTCTGGAACAGTTGGCGTCTCTGCACTTAGAAAGCAATGTAATTATATACCATAAGAAAAAATATGAGATACATATTTATGAAATATTCTAGTATTTTATTTTTAAATACTCAAACTAAGCAACTGAAACCTTCAAAATCTGACACTCTGACATCAACTGACATTCTGCGTTTGTTTTTTCTATTATTGCTTATCGGCAGCAGTTGTTTATCGCTTGTTTCATTTGAGATAACAATAACGGATCGAAGTATTGTCGGTACATTCCCATTTATTATTGATGTTATGTTTGCATCTTTACTCAAAATTTTGTCTAAATTACGATCGCGTCAAATTGACGCATATTCGTCGAGATAGGTATACCACAAAGAGAATTTCAACATTTCAACGCTTTTGAAGAAAATAGACTTCAATAAACATTTACCTCGATCAATTGATAATAGTCATTACAAGAGATAAAATAAAAATGCAAACGGGTTGTGTAATTTTCCTTATAAAATTCGAAATGCGTCAAAATGACGCGTCCCGTAAACCTAGTGTTAATTAACTTTAAACTTATTAACATTAGAACTTATGTCGAAAAACTTAGCTCAATTTTAACACACCATTTTGTTTATAAAATATCAAGGTCACATGTGAGGGTATCTGTGATCTCCTTCTTGAAATGCAAGTACCCAAATTTAAGAGTGAGTGTAAATTGAATTCTGCAGAAAATATGCCGACTAAAAGTATTACATTAGTATTATAACTATATTTCGAAATTAACCATAACTTCTAATCACAACATGAAAAATAAATTAATTAACTACATTTGAGAAATATTAGTTGTAATTTTAATCAACTTAAAAAATATTGCTTTTCCGAATATAGACTCCTTTTAAGTTTACGGGAAAATGTAAATTTCGTTTCTGTTACCTATAGGTAAGTGGGATCCAGATAAAATTCCAGTACCAGTTGCTATTTCAGTAGCTACGTTTATGTTGTTGCAGTGTATAGAAGATCCAGCTACTCAAGTATGTGGTTTACGACTTATAATTGATGCCAAAAACGTCTCTTTAAAACATATGCGTGCATTAACACCAAGATATTTACAGTTATTCGGTAAAGGTCTCAGAGTAAGTAAATTTTTACGAAAAAAAACTAACATAAATTTTTATTTCATTAAACTTTATTTACTTTCAGCATTATTGCCTCAATTCATTTCTCATGTCTATTATTTGTATTATGTATTCCAGTAAAGAAAAAAAGATATTTCGAGATGACTGTTGGCGAAAATTGGCAATTTTTTTTCAGTGGCATTTGGTGTTTACGCGCAACGCCCTGCGAATTAAAATAACTTTTAAGAAACAAATTAATAAAGAATACTTATATCATAAATAACATACATAAATACTAAAACGTAACAAAGATATAAGATGAAAACATAACGTAATATAACAAGGTGTGCAGTAAAACCAAGTCGCCATAAATGAAACAGCACCGCCAATGCTGGCGACATACTTGGCACCTCGAATATAGATTAGCAATCGATTTAATCACTTTATATAGAATACTGCTTTACAAGTAATTGGATCGTTCTAATGTCACGTATTATTAGCTAAGTCTATTTTTTTATTCACGTTCAGGGAGGAAAGTCCAGATATCAAGAAGGAAAAGAGTGAAACTGGTACGAAATAAATTTCATTTTTAGCTTTTTTGGGGAAAAATAAAATATCTATAATTACCAAATTTCTTTAACTGATAAAATTTATATATTGAATTACTTCTTCCCTAATAAAATAGTAAGAACAGTGAATTGATTATTCTTAAGAATAGATTTACTCCTCCCGAAAATTATTCGTAATTTAAAGAGTTCTACTACCAGTTTTTTCATTTTCCTGTCTCACTTTCAGGCATGTTCACAATGGGTTCAGAATTCAAAGCTCACTGATGAAATTTTCGCTCTGTCCCAAATATAATTAATGATTCGTAAAAGTAGTTAAAAAATAGGAATAAGATTCTGTATTCAGCTAAGAAAGGGAAATTTTAACCTTACAAATTTCATTATTAGTTAAAAATTATTTCAAGAGATGTCACTGATGATTGCAAAAACTACGACGCTTAGTTTTCTGTAGCGTGCCAGCCTCTTTCAACTCAAAATAATTGCACAGAAGTTGCTTGCCCTCAGACTGCACTTTGCTGTTGCTTTAAATAGTGGTCAATTTAAACTCATTGGTTAATGAGTATTAAGTTAGTGCAGCATCATCTGTTGACGAGCTTTGTAACTACTTTTGAAACTAGGTCAGAATAAATACCATGTTTAATAAGCATGATAGAATTTCTTTCTACCTCATTCCATATTTCTTTAATTGTTTTTCTATTCTTTTTTAAATCTTCGGCCTGTTTCGAACTCGATGGAAATGTTTATTATTACACAATATCGGAAAATGTAATATATGTTTTTTTTTTTTTCTTTTTCTTTTTCAGAATTCCTTACCTATCAGGTTTGCGGGGATTCATATAACGAACGAATCAATCTTCTTTTCATACATATTCAACATTTTAAAGTTATTTCTCTCAGAAAAGATTAAAAAAAGGGTAAATATATTTTTGATATCTGTTGATTTTGTGCATGCAGTGTCTGACTTGAAACTGAGCTCAGTCATACTGCTCTTGAAACCTCACCTAATAAAAATAATACATATATATATATATATGAAAATACATCAGATCACTTGAGTCCAGGAGTTTGAGACCAGCCCCGGCAACAT